ATTATAGAATTTTTCTTAAAGTAAATTTAAAAATATTAATGTCTAGTTAATTCTGATTTAGTACAGATTTCTATGTGTATTTATTTAATAACATATTACAGTAATTCAAATCTAAAAGTCTGTAATGATGGTGCGTTTCTAAAGTAAAAATTATTCTGGATGTTTTCCATAGTCTAATAAAGTCATAAAATTGCAGGACGTTTCGGTGATGGAACTGACTTCTTACAGGAAGAATGGCATGTCATTAAATTACAGCACTGAGTAATTATCTTTGTATTATTTTCAGCTACCAACAATGTAAATGTTGAATGACAATGATTAATTATTATATGAACACGTGCGTGCCTAACAATTGAAGTAAATATAATAGAGTTTATAAACCAAACCCGTAACAATATTAGCATAACAATTGAAATTGTTACGTTATACTTTTCGTTGACATTGTTGTATTCGTAACACTATCTCGTAACACTTTTTCTTAACACTTTTTTGCCGAATGATACTGACCCTAAAATATAGACGTATTTACGTCAAAACAATTGGTCAGAACATGCACAGCCATCTTATTTGTTTCAAAGTAAACGATGCAACTACTCAACAGTTGATGCGATAAATGTAAGGACAAATAATTCGAGAGGAGGATGATACCTAAATCCTTTGCAGGCCGAATCGGTCGGTTATAAAACTCTGGTTGTGTACATAAATTAGAGGAATAAAATTTACTAACATACCTAAGGTCTGATTTACAATAAACTGCTTGTACTGAAGTATTGAAAATTTAATATTCCAGTAAACAATTAGAGAATTCAATATTTTAGAAAACATGGCATATTTACTGTTATTATGTTACTATTTATTATTGACTACAAATGGGTTTATACCCGGTGGCAGTAACCTACAATAAGATACAAAACAATAAGACAACAAAACAATGAAAAAAATTTCTTCATTTACACACAGAAGAAGGCAATGGCAAACACAAAACAAAATAACACATCCCACTCAAAATAAAACAACTCATAAAATTACAAAACCATCTAACCTAAAGTAAAAAGTAAAGTTTGTCCCACTATACGCCATGTAGGCGTTTGGGGTGAGTGGAGGTATAGCTCCTCTCTTCCTTGACCTCGGCACTAGTTGGGGGTGAGTGGTCAGCATCACGTCCCGGCCGGCTTTACCCCCGGGAAAGGGCCCCGGTATCCATTGGAGAGGAGGCTGGGTGGGCCCCAGAGCAGGATGTATTTCGCTCGTCATTAGACAATATCAGAAGATTTACCGAATGCCCATGTATAACGGATTGTGAATAATCAGGGATGTTAAAAGAAACTGAACAAAAAGTACGCAGACTGAACATTACATTTCATACACTCATTAACGGGATCGATTTATGCAGCGATACAATAGCAGCTTTCATTACGTGCCTTACATCACAATTCCAGGAACCTAAAATAATATTATATATATATATATAAATAATAAAGAAAGTCTTTTTTATATTACGTACTTGGGAAATACATATTCAGACCACAGAAATGATACAGATTTCAAATTTAGAAATGCAATAAGGTTAATAGTGTAATTAGATGAGATTTTGGCAAACATTACAGTTGATACGTAATTGCGTTTACACAATATTACCTCAAAATCAGCCCTCAGTTACAGCAGTGAAAGATGGTGTGTTCTGTTATGGGTCTTATGGAAAAATCATGCCAATTTAAGAGTACAAAAGGTTTTTTCGTTCATGAGTCATAAGCGTAGAAGTAAACAAACACGTCAACCCGCAATTATCGACTTTACATATGACGAAGAGAGTGCGCAGAATTTACTAACGGGAAATACGTCAGTTTCTTACAAATTCATCTTCTGGAACTCAGGACAATTTTTGGGTTTGTGGGCGCAGTTAATCAAATCCTTGTCCAGAAACAGAATTTTCCTTAGCGCCAATCTCCCACAGTGCTTACTATCCGAACTACAGAAATCATGTTTTCCGGGATTCGAAGAAAGGAACAATTTTTCTCTCGCCCATGGGTGATGGGGCTCCTCAAAAATCATCTTTAAATTAACCAATTACAAAAAGACCTGAACTTTTTAAGTAAAGGAAAATGGAATTTCAATTATTTTTAAATTTATTTTATTTTTATAGAGAACACATTTAATAGATATTCCAAAGTACTTAAAGCTATTTGCCTCTGGAATTAATTGATCCCAACTGAGTAAATATCTTTGTATTATTTTCAGCTACCAACAATGTAAATATCGAATGACAATGATTAATTTATATATGAACACGTGCGTGTCTAACAATGCAGGAATGTATTGGAGTTTATAAACCGAACCCGTAACAATATTGGCATGACAATTATCGCATGATCTATTCAAATCTGTCTGTAACTTATCAATGTCACTACTATCCAATATTAAAATTGTTACGTCATTGACATTGTTGTATTTCATTAGTAAGTATTGTCGTCAACAATCAGGTTTTCTTAGTCTGGAAAGAACTGAACTGTGAATCTTTTGTAGAAGAAGTGCGTACTCCTGGGGTTACCCTGACTTCATGAGACAGTTGTCTTGTTTATTGCTGATGAATCTAGTTCCCTTCCCTTGAACGAAGAACTTTAGCAGCCGAGAATCTTGATAAAACAGTTATAAACCCTTAAGAGTCTGGCGGTAAGTATGTGTACCACCTGACATCTTCTTTTATTGTGATTATTATTATTTATCAACATATTTACATATGTTTGTTAATAATTATGAACACTTGCAAGAAAATGAAGCTAGTTTCTTTCTTTCTAACACAATTTCAATTAATTTTAGACTGACTTTTGTTTTTTACGGTAAAAATTGACTGCAATTTAATATTCCAGTAAACAATTAGAAATTCGAATGTGTGGAACGACAAGGCATGTTTACTAGTCGAGAATCTTGAATTGAGAAAAAGAATTCGAAACCTTTACGTTTCTTGATACATGAACTTTGTTAAAGCTTACGGTAAGTATGTGTACCACCTGATTTCACGATTAATAACCCTTCATTGTGTATATCTATCTATCTCTATCTATCCATCCATCCATCTATTAGTAGCTTAACCCAATAGTGGGTATTAACCGGGTGATCTTTGTAATGGTGAAGTGTAGAGTTTTCTTCGCGGTACGGACTGAATTCTTAAATAATATTTAGACGATCTTCTGCTTGAGATACGGGGCACAAATTGAGAAAAAGAATTCGAAACCTTTACGTTTCTTGATACATGAACTTTGTTAAAGCTTCTTTCTCTCTCTCTCTCTCTCTCTCTCTCTGTCTCTCTATCTATCTATCTCTATCTATCCATCCATCCATCTATTAGTAGCTTAACCCAATAGTGGGTCATTGCCACCTCCTTTCGGATGTTTCCTAGTTTTTAAAGCGTGCATTCATGAGTAGTGTTTGACACGCCCACTGAAAGGCATTTGTGGATTTGTTTTATGTATGCAGTAGAATTGCCTCAATAAAGTGTAAAGAACTCCATGTTTTTTACTGAAGAAATAATAATTGTTACGTCATAGTTTTGGCCACTATTCATACATCCATCCATTTGTAGCTTAACTCAATAGTGGGTCATTGCCGCCTCCTTTCGGATGTTTGCTAGACTTTAAAGCGTGCATTCACGAGTAGTGTTTGACATGCCCACTGAATGCCATTTGTGAATTTGTTTTATATATGAAGTGGAATTGCCCCAATAAAGTGTAAAGAACTCCATGATTTTACTGAAAAAAATGGTTACGTCATAGTTTTGGCCAACATTGTTATATTTTATTGGTAAATATTTATATTGATGTCAACAAACGCCTTTCGTTACTGTGGAAACAAATGGTCTGGGAATCGCTTGTGGAAAAAATGCGTCGTACATAAAATACTTTTGTGCAATTGAAGACCTTTGAAAATAATCCAATATACACGTTTCATTCGAATTTTTAAGATTTTTAGTGATCATCGGTTATTCTTGAGATATAATCTGTGGATACATTGTAAAAAATATATACGACTATGGCCACCAGATGACAGCACCTCACTCGCCTGAAACTCGTATTGTTGGTCTTGCCCATTGTTGATAATGTGACCCGTTGCTAGGCATAATAAATAAACGACAAATATTTGTTTTGTTGCAGTCGGAAGAAGCATAAACGTGCAAAGTCTAGATTAATAGAAAAATGATTTCGAGTACAACGAATTATAATGTGGAAGATCAAGAACCTGCAGCTGAAGACATTCAAATTCACGGTATGGAGCGTTTTTCTGCAATGGGTATATTATGGTAACTAAGATCAGGGATGTGGAGTCGGAGTCGGTAAGATTGAACAGACTCCGACTCCGACCTCGATATAAAATCTTAAGAAAACTTTCGTTACCATTTGAGACGCCGACGGCCTCACGCTTAGGGAGATTCAATTACGCGTTAAACCACGTGGTGTGTGGAATAATGCTTTGTAACTTTGGCTCGTGTATCGTAAGAATACAAACTGTCTAGAAATCAACCGATTTCTGCAAAAATCATTAGACGTATATTTAAATGTAAGTTTTAAGTTTAAAAGGTAGCCTGATGATTCACGAGGTGGTGATGAAATCTCTTGTGGTACATTTTACCATTTTAGTAGGTTTACACTTACTAATACATATTTAGCTTTTATGAAGGAGTCGGAGGATTTAGTAGCGAAACCACAGCCTTGATTAACATTTTACCTCAAGAACATACGTTTTTCTAATAATTATGGTAACTAAGATCAGGGATGTGGAGTCGGAGTCGGTAAGATTGAACAGACTCCGACTCCGACCTCGATATAAAATCTTAAGAACACTTTCGTTACCATTTGAGACGCCGACGGCCTCACGCTTAGGGAGATTCAACGACGCGTTAAACCACGTGGTGTGGGAATAATGCTTTGTAACTTTGGCTCGTGTATCGTAAGAATACAAACTGTCTAGAAATCAACCGATTTCTGCAAAAATCATTAGACGTATATTTAAATGTAAGTTTTAAGTTTAAAAGGTAGCCTGATGATTCACGAGGTGGTGATGAAATCTCTTGTGGTACATTTTACCATTTTAGTAGGTTTACACTTACTAATACATATTTAGCTTTTATGAAGGAGTCGGAGGATTTAGTAGCGAAACCACAGCCTTGATTAACATTTTACCTCAAGAACATACGTTTTTCTAATACTAAATGCCAAAAACAATTGAAATCAAGGCATGTCTTATGAATTTTTTATCCATTACAGTACATAAGTCCCGATAAATACGACCATAAGAATTCTCAGTACTGATATAAAGTCATTTGTGTTTTAGGAATGAAGCAGCATTTACTTACATTTATATCACCTTGCAAGAGTGGGACCATATTGGATGACATAAAATTCATCCTGTACTTAATCTTCGTCTTCGTAGTGATAATAGGTAAGTAAATTTTGACTCACATGGTTTTACCTCAGACAAAGTACTACAACCAAAAGGGTTTAATAAAACAGAGTACTTGTACTGCATACATAGTAAAGTCCAATTTCGATTTTTTGACGTAAATACGTCTATATTTTAGGGTCAGTGTCATTCGGCAAAAATGTTCCGAAAAAGTGTAACGAAAAATTGTAACTTCATTGTTATGTTACCTAGGAAACGTCATACTGCATTATTATGTTACCTGGGAAACGAAAAAGTGTAACTTCATTGTTATATTACCTTGGAAACGTCATCTGTTTATCAACAAATAAACAACAATGGTTACCTACATAGTGACCTTACATTACCTTACCTTACCTTACCTTACATTACATTACATTACCTTACCTTACATCACATTACCTTACCTTACATTACATTTCATTACATTACATTACTTTACATTACATTCATCTATCACAGACCCATCTGAAGCCTTACTAATTTAAGTTAAATAAGCAATGTCTTAATCAAACTTTACTCAATTGTAAAGCTTGTATAAAGGAAATATTTAGAATAAAGCCAATATATAAACTTCCTTTCGGTATAGACGTATTTATGTCAAATTCCCCGGAACAACTTTTGTTATTATGTACAATAGGATTATTTATCCACTCTCTTTACGTAACATTACCACCTTGTGATTGCTGCCTTACCAGAGCGTGAATTTAACAGGAAAGGAAAACTGTAGTCCAATTTGGATTATGTAACCTACTAGATAGCTTACCGAAACCGAAGGTCATCACTGAGTTAACCAAAGCCCTTCATTGTACCTTGAAATTGATCAACAGAATTCAGCCTCCTTCAACTCCTATCTCCCATAGATCCCGCCTGAGATTAACTCACATCTACGTCTAGGTCTCCCCAGCGGTCTCCTACCCTCAGGCTTCCCAACCAATACCCGGTGCACACCTCTTGTCCCATCCATGCACGCTACATGCCCAGAAAAACTCATTCTACTTGACTCAATCACCCTGGCAATATTGGTGATGGATTACAAATTTTTAAGTTTCTCTCTATGTAGTTTTCTCCACACTACGGCGACTTCTGTACTAGGCCCAAATATTGGAATACATACACATTCAAACAAATTTTCTGTGATTTGCAAAGTTCACTCATCTTGGTATTTATTTAAATAAAGTTGCATATCAACACTTGTTTAGCTAAACTGTGGTTCAAATACTTCTCGTTACAGAATTATAAATTCCATTGTCGATAAAGCTAATCAATAGTTCAGATGTTAAATCTATAAGGAACACAATGTTTTTTATTTCTATTAAATACGTAAGACAAATAATTTCCCAAATGAAAGTTACAGATCTTCACGAGTTTCGTATTTTACACCAGTTTCTATAAGCCTCCTACACAAACTTAAAATGTTGTTAAAATTACTTAAGAATACATAAAATCGGTAATTATTTGGTCATGCCACGGCCCTGAATTATGAAAATTATTCAGTGGATGTATTTGAACTGAAAAAGTGAGAAATTTATAGTTTTATTTCAACTTCGATAAAAGTCTGTTATTGGTTATACAACAGGATTCTCTAAATATCTCTGTCTTCTTCTGTGATCTAAGTTCTAATCGCTGGAATTGTTTAAATATATTGAAAATATCACTTTATTTTCTCAGGAACATTGGGGAATTCACCCAACATGTGGTATTGGTGCAAAAACCATTTTAGTGAGTCGATTGTGAACACTAATTTTCAAGATGGTATTAAAGAAAGAAACTTCTATAACATGTCAAGCATAACTCAATTCTGGAAGGTATGAATTTAAGATAAATATGCGATTGAGACATACATAAATGCTTAAATGTAGAGATAATGAAGTGATTTAAGAAACTCATTTGCTAATTAAGTGATTAAGCAGTCGACTTAATTACTATAAAAAAGTTATCCAACTGTACGAGAAATTTTCTATTATGGCACCAGAAGGTTAAATAACATCCCTTTCAAGTCAGTTTCCATACAACCAAATCCGACCTGATGCTTCCAACTGGTCTCTTTCTATGAAATCTTCCAAATAAAATTTTGTATGTCCTGCCAATCTGAATTTTCCAGATTTAATTACCCTGACAGGATTATGGAAATGTTATGAAGCAACACTTTCCCATTCTTATCATACGTTTTCTATCTTGGTGCAGAGAAATTGTTCTATAAATTTTAATATTCAGGTTTTGGAAAGACCACATGAAGGTAACCCCCTTGTTAAAAATCTTTGGCATATTTTTACAAATATTCACAACTTCTGTCTATATTCGAGATGAAATAAATATCACATTTTATTAGGGACTGAAAATTTGTACTATTAACCACCCAACACTGTTTGCATGAGAAAACCATGTAATACTAAACGGTTTGGAAAAATAATGTTCAAGAAACATGTTCATAATTTTGATTGAAGAATCTCATGGAAAGAGCCCACTTGGAAATCATTGGCATATATAAAAGAACAGTATTAAAATGTGTCCTGGAAG